GAGAGAGGATATAGAATGATACTGGGGGGGAGAGAGAGGATATAGAATGATACTGGGGGGAGAGAGAGGATATAGAATAATACTAGGGGGAGAGGATATAGAATGATACTGGGGGGAGAGATGGGATGATACTGGGAGGGGGGGAGAGATGGAATGATACTGGGGGGGAGAAGGTTGATGATTATGGGGTCATTGTCTGGGGAGTAATCCATGTATAAGGTGATCAGTGCACAATAAAAGAATAACGGGTTAATATTCTCTAATCTCTGCTTTCACCTTCCATTTTCCCTTTGTGAAGGTCGAATATTGAGTCGATCTTTTTATCAGCTCAATATTTTCCACTAATGGTAAGTTTCCGCCTCTACTGAGCAGTTGGTTCTTTGCTGTCACACAGAGCCACTCTCTATATTCTCTTCCTTACTGTTACTTTGTATCTGTTTAGCTTAACGTTGGGCAAGATTTCTCTTTCCTGTCTGCGAACTAAAACTCCCATCATCCTCAGCATGTTAGTATTCATTGTACTTTTCTGGTGAAAACTCTATCCAGTCACTTTACTAAGCTGCATAAATAGCCAGTGTGCTGGGAGTCAGTTTAAAGATCTGCGATATTCCCTATCCTGGCTCGCAGGCTGCCTTCCAAGAGTAACTTACCTCAGACAGCGGGTCGGTTTCCCTAAGGTAAGTGCTAAGAAAGCTGTATGGAGATAGCAGGTGTAACCCTGTCAGTTATAGCGTCATGTCTCTGTATGTCGCTATAAACCATCAAGAAACAGACAGGTCAAACCGTCACGTGGATTTCTTATAGGGCAGTTAACAAATTTATTTATTAATTTTTTCCCATTGTTTATTTTCAATCATTTAATTTTTTTTTTCTTTAAATTTGTAACCGTTTCACTGGGATCCGAAGGAGTTTTATTTGACCATTTTTGAGGATGAATAAAAAAAGATTATAGCAACAAGATCTCTAACCGAGATTTCAAACGGTCATTTTTTTTCTCTCCAAAGATTTTTTATTTTTTCTATATTCCCTGATTTTGAAGGTCCGGGATACTGGGTATGTCCCTGGCCCTTTGTCTCATATAAGGGATTAACCCATTTGGGCCCAGCAGACTGGACTTGTTCTTTAACCCCTTAAGGACCAAACTTCTGGAATAAAAGGGAATCATGACATGTCACACATGTCATGTGTCCTTAAGGGGTTAAGGGAGTAACATTTATTATAAAGCAGTTCCAGGAGACTGGGTATTCGCTTATTAATGTAATACTTTCCACCTCGCAGCCCACGGGCAGTGCTGGTATTACTGGGGGACCCAACACTTTTATCATTATTTATTTGTACATTGTCTGTAAGCTCAGTGTGTCCGCTTCTCTCACTTGCCGCAGAGCAGCACATCGCATCGATCTCAGACGTGGTACTGAAAGGGTTACGTTTACTAGCGCTGCCCACCTAGTGACAATATACAGTGGGTTTTGCTAGGCACCATTTCCGCCAGCCATTGGCACACCATTAGGGAACAGAAGCCTTTGCTAACTAGCGTTACAGTAAAGTTACAATTAGAAAATCACAGTTGTGGCCTAACTGTGACAAATATAGCGGTGGCTCTAGTAAATCAAGCCTGTTGTGCCGGTGTTTCTGTAATAGATTGTTTGTACCATCTCCCTGATACATGCTCTCCTTGCCCCGGGTACATGTTTCACTGAGCTCTTGTTTTTTCTTTGCTGTGTTTTTAGGTTTTCAATGCCTTTATGGTGCTCGCTGTAAGCGCGGGCACTGCCCTGTTGGCTGAGCAGCAGATCTTCTGCAGATGGGTCCCGGCATCCAAGTATTTCTTCTTCTCCAAGTCCTGGTGACCCTGGCACTGCCCGAAGACAATGGCGGCTGGTATGTAATAATCTACGACAAAGGTGTCCAAAGCACAATATGCCTGTACTGGCAGCATTTCAAAAAGAAACATACAAAGTTCATGCACCATAACCACTTCAACAAGCAGGCATGATTATGATGCTTAGAACTTCTCTTTGACAATTTTTCTCTTTAACCGTTTTTCATGTGATATGCAAATTTGTGTTTCTTATTTTTTTATATATTTGAAAGATTCAGTAACTCACACATCATAACCCAGTGCCGCTGTGACACAGCCAGGGCATACAATGCAAATGAGGAGGAGAAATAGAATGTTTCATTTATTTTTTTCTATAAATACTCTCTCTGTGCTGACAGCCAGATAGAAAGGACAGAGCTTATAACAATGGCTGACAGGGAGCTAAGATGGAGGCGCCCAGTTCCAGAAAAGCAATAATATGAATTTCTACATTTAATTTTGTTTTTCATTCTCTCACAAAAACACATATTTGTTAAATACAGGGTGTAAGTTATCAGAATATTAAAAATCCTGAGACCGTTCCTCTTTGACAGAGGTGCATTTTGTGTTGGCCTTTGTATGTGGGCAGCACAACGCTGCGGCCTATGTTCCTGCTATAAATTAATGACAAGAGAGCGGTTTCGTTGTCTTATTGTGCCGCAGGGTGCTGGATCGCGACTCTCCTGTGCAGGAAGAAGAGCGTTGTACCGTAGATAAAGTGGACGCTTCTATCACCTATTCTCAGTTTATACAACAGTGAGTACAATTCCTGGCTCTGGGTCCAACCATTCAACGTGATCACTCATCCTACCCCACTCTCTGTTCTCCATCACGGTTACTCACTAAAGAGAGAATTCAAAGTGACTTTTATATTTTGGTGAAATCTAAAACATAACTTGTATTAATATAAGATTTTAAAATTTAGGAATAAACCTCACATAGTACTTAAGGCAAACAAAACAAAATAAGAAAAATGTATTGAAAAAAGCGGAAAAGTATCCCTGAAATAGTGAATGTGCATTAAGCAACCAATTTTAACAAAAGCAGGTGAATATTTTACTGATTTACAAAACATACAAAACAGACTGTCAAGGAGGAAGATCAGGGGCAGAGCCAGCACAAATCAAACACAGCCCTGGCCAATCAGCATCTCTTTATAGAGATGCATTGAATCAATAATCTCTTTGGGGAAAGTTCAGGGTGGAGACACTGAATGTCAGTCACACGGTGCAGCAATGACCCAGGAAGCACCTCTAGCAGCCATCTGAGGAGTGGCCAGTGAAGTTATCACTAGGCTGTAATATAAACACTGCATTTTCTCTGAAAAGACCTTGTTTACAGCGAGAAAGCCTGAAAGGAATGATTGTACTCACCAGAACAAATACGTTGTAGTTGTTCTGGTGATTTTGGTGTCCCTTTAATTTAAAATGTAGCTAATTGTTAAGAACATTGTAAGTATATTAATTACATTTTTGAACCCTTTTTCTTTCATTACATATTGAAAGGTTTTAGGATTTTATATTAATAAAAGTAACATTTTAGACATCCTAATATATTTGCCCTTTTTTCCCCCCATTAATAAGGGCTGGTGATAGACCAACAGAAAACGATTGGGAATTTATGTGATGTTCATATCTAAATGTCATATTTAGTTCCCTAGTCAAACCGAAAACCTAGGAGAATTTTTTAAAGTTTGTTAGATTTGCCTAAAATGTGAAATACATTTAGAATTTCTAAGAATGTACGGTTTAGCTCTCCCTAGTATGGTGTGAATTGGAATGTTACCACTAGGTGGCAGCAGAGACGTCAGTCACCTTACACTACACTACAGGGCAGCATACAGACATCATATACCCCCTTAGTGCCCTACACAGCGTTTAATATGAAATCATATTATACTACGATACTCCTCACACATCAATTATTATCCGAGATAATAACCCTATTACTGGGAACAATTGGGCTGATTTTCCTAGATTGTGATCCCAAGTGACCTGACGCCCACAGGGCTCCAAAGTAAACAGCAGATGTCGGACTCACGGAGTAGTGTCATGGTGGAAGCACAATATAGTAAAAGTAAAACAATGTACTTTTCATTGGGCTTTTTATATTTTTAAAATTTTAGCCCTCGGCATCCCCATATTATCTCTTCGTTTCTACTCCGCGTCACATGAATTACAGCGATAATGTCAAACATGGACAAAGCATACAATATGGGGTCTATGGCAGATCTGGCAAAACACCTGATGTCAACGTGATCTTCTAGAATTCTTCTCCCTGGCACGTAGACATAGTATACCCACCTGTGACACGGAGACATTCTTTGCCATCAGCTGTTAATGGTAGGATGTACCCAGAAATGTAACAGATTTGCCTTCTTTAGCCTTTTCCTAATCTATGGAACACAATAGTCACAAAATGTTTTAACATTCCTTTTTATTGTTGTCATCATTCACTGATAAACACAGATTGGGTCTAATTCACTTTGTTTCTTTGTTTCCAGATACGCTTATAGTCGACCTGTCATTATTCAGGGAATTACAGACAATGTGGTGAGTGGATCTGAGATTCGGTCACATGATTTATCTGTACGCAGGCTGTGATGATCAGCTCACAAGACAAGCACGGATTACGTGTGGATTTGTAATTTAAACCTGGGATTATGGAGAATCAACAAGGGAATTGCAAATTTTAGGGGAAAATAATTAAAAAGAAAGAAATCTCTCCCTACTGTTTTGGTCTAAAATGGCTTGTCCATTCTCCTGAGTCCTAATTTAGTGAATCCATTCAATAATGTCATAATTAAATCACAGAAATTCCAATATAATCCCAATAAAAAGCAAGAACCTGGAAAAGCGCTACTTTGAATTCCATGGGAACTGATTTTAAATAGTTCACTTGTCTTCCTTTGCCAGGAGTTTCAGTCTCTCTGTACCAAGCAGCATCTCGTGCGAGAGTTTGGAGACCGCCAGGTGCGCCTGAGTACGGCCAACACGTATTCATACGAGAAAGGTGAGTCTATTGAGACGTTTCTTCACATTTTCTGGTTATCTATAGAGCCGGTGTACTGACATTTGTAGACTCATTTTTAGTAAACAAAATTCTGTAAATGCTGTAAATTCATGAATCCACATCGTCCCAATCAAAAAATATAAAAAAAACTAAGAACACGGCTACTATGTCCAAACCACATAATTGATTTTTCTAGTGTGAATGCTTTGCAATCCTAAATTTCCCAACCCTTTGCAACAACCTCTGATTCTTGTAGCATACCAACTCCCATAATGCTTTGTAGCCTTTAACAAGTCCTCCTGTGAATATTTACTTTAAAATGTCCTGTTCGGCAGTGGATGTGCCTTTCCAGGAATACGTCAATCATTTACTAAAGCCCCAGGACCTGACCTCGCTTGGCTGCGGTAAGTCACATTCTGCATTATTTTATATGTGAATAGATAATCCTGGCTGCAGTGTATCCTCCAAGTACATGTACGGCCATACCTACACAGGGTGGATTTAGAACGGCTGTGATTTTTGGAAATATCAGTAACTAAGAAAAGGGAAGCTGAATTAGGGAACCTCTGTGCACCAGGATTTGTTTTCAGGCTCCCATTCTGATACAAATATGATCCCCATTGTTAGCTGTCCATTCTTCAAGCTTTTTCTTGTAGTTTTGGTGTGGACAAAATACACAATTTAAACGGCTTGTTCCAATAACCTCCGAGTAGAACAGATCTCTGTATATATTGAAACTGTGGTTTTCCCAACCTCCTCTGCAGCTGTTTACAATAGAGGCATTTCACTACTGTTAAAAATATGACAATGGTTGTGATGTGAATCCACTTGTAATATTTTTTTCCCACAGTTTCTGTCTTTGAAGGTTGCCATTTGTAAAATGAGACTGACATATTTTATGTGCACTACAGATACTTTGTATTTTTTTGGAGACAATAATTTCACAGAATGGGGTTCACTGTTTGAGAAATACACACCACCTCCATTCCGGATTCCAGGTACCAGTGGAGCATACAGTTTTGGGATTGCCGGTGAGTGTTCTAGGAGTTTTCAGGGAAAGATTCAAAGGGGAGCTATAGCCGGGACACAGGGATGCTCTATAAAAAGTGTCCTTTTGTAACATATACAATATGTGTAAGCTGTACCTGGATCCAATCTAAAGTCTGGCATTCCATATGACGCAATATGTAAGGTGTACAGCACTAAATTAATTCCCTGCCCCACTAAAATGTATAAGCATAGGTTCTGTGCTGCTAAATTAGTGCTATATATGAATGGATTCTACAAAGTAATAGATATGAATTTTACTTGTTGCGTTCCCCCCCAACCACATTTTCCTATTTTTTAAATATATTTACTAAGCTGGGAATGTTGAGAAGTTCACAAGGAAACTCTGAATTTAATGCTAAGGAGAACTGGAAAAAGTATTTGGTTATTTTCAGTTCAGGAAAATTGGCCTAAAATGTCTTGTTTCCTAGTCAATTGAACCCGGTCTGTCAGAGAAAAGGCGACAGGGTGCATGAAGGGATGATCTGTCCTTTATGTTCTGCAGGTTCTGGCACAGGGGTTCCTTTTCACTGGCACGGACCGGGCTACTCCGAAGTTATATATGGCAGAAAGGTGAGATGTGTATAGTGTTCTATTAATATACCGTAAATCTTTCATAGGTCTGCACCATGGGACTCAGTCACAAAGTCTTGATGTATTCTGTGGTCCTAGCGTGAACATGAATCAGGTTCATTCTCTGAGGAGGAAATATAAACATGCAGTCTAAGGAGAAAATATAAAATCATAGAGAAGAGAATTACAATTATTATGTCAAACTATCAAACCGTGAGAATCCCCTGATTGAGCTATTTTTTCTGTCTGCTACTTTCTCCACAATTCCAAATAAACCCCATGTAGAAACATAAACCAAATTTCTTCCTACTTTCTTCCAGCGCTGGTTTCTTTACCCACCTGAGAAAACGCCTGAATTTAATCCTAATGGGACGACCCTGTCATGGCTGTTGGATACATACCCCTACCTCTCAGAGGAAGAGCGTCCCATAGAATGCACCATCCGCCCCGGAGAGGTAAGGTCAATATGCACCATATTAGATGCCCATTACATCAACCTCCAATCCTGGCTTGGAATTGCAAAAACCTGTTTCAATTTGCCCCAAAATTTCTACTCAGACTTTTACTGAAATTACTTTTGATGCAAAAAACAAAAACAAAAAAACATACATTTCATAAAGGAACGCTGTAGGCACCAAAATGTTGTTGTTCTGAAGTATATAGCCGGTCTCTGGAGCCTCAGAAGTGTACAATACTGCATTTTCAGGTAAAAAGCAGTGTTTACATTGCTGCCTAATGCCACCTCTAAAGGTTGTCATTCTGACACTCAATAGAGGGACTTCCTGGGTTCAGTCCTGCAAAGATTGCGAGAGTTCAGCGTCTCCACTCTCTGCATGGATGATCAGGATTGATGATCTCAGCCATTGAGGCAAGGCGGCCATGGAGGGATCAGAGTGGCAAGGGGAGAAAGTTTGTTCTACTAAACTGCTACAGATCACAATATTGTTAATAACACACTATACAGGATTATTCACTAAAATGAGAAGTAATTTTGAAGATTAAAAATTGCTGAACTGGAAATGTTCTCTAAGGCAGCTATGCTTCTAGTTCCACTACTTTGGTCTGAAATTTGAAATTCAATTAAAATTCTCGCTTTAGTATATAACCCTGTACAGTGGCTCTTTTATCAGAAAACTATTTTTACAAATATAGTTAGAAATGGTTTTAGATTGTGCTGATAATTTAAACTTTGTTTGGCCATTTTTTTTTTTGTTAATTAAATTGAAATAAAGACTTTCCAAGGAACAGACACATCCTTATGGCCCAAACGTCACTCACATTAGGCAGTGGAATGCTGGGAGTTAAATAGCTCACCTGACTGAGGTTCTGATTGGCTTTTGATCTCATGCTTTTGGTCAGTATTGCTTACAAGTGTTAAATATTACAATATTAAAGGAAATTCTAAACAGCCAAATCCACATGTAATCGGACATCAGTTCCAAAGTGGTAATGCCTAAACTTGCTGCTTGATTAGACAATATTAATCTGTTAGAATTGTACTAAATTTATTCATGTAACGAACATAACAGGTGATTGGTCCACTTTAATATGGTAATGACTTCTGTCACTCCATGCAGGTGAATCCAGTTTGGGAATGATCAATTCTCAATCGGTATGTTTCTTTTTCCTGCATCTTGCCAGGTTTTGTATTTTCCTGACCGGTGGTGGCACGCTACCCTTAACCTCGACACCAGTGTCTTCATTTCGACATTTCTCGGATAACCCCCACCAGACCAGTCACTGGTGATACCTCTAAGGCCAGCCACGGTACCACGAGCAACACAGCAGTGACTCCCAACCCACAGAGAGAACCAGGAGGTAGAAAACCACTACTGGCCTACAACTGGACCAACTAGATTTTTTTTTTGATTTTTTAGCAACTGGACCATTTTACAAAATCACAATATCAGGATTGCTGTAGAATTTTGTTATATTGTATCATGAACTAAAATGACAATTTTCCATTCCTAGTGAAACGTCTACAGTTTAATATTTATAAAAATCTGAATGCTCCGTCCTGGTTTATAGTTAGTAAAGGTTCAATAAAAGATGTATTTTAGCAGAAATTACTGGCTGATTTCCTGGGCTCTTAGTGGGGAGCTATATCGGAGGTAGTAACCATAAAGCGGATTATTCATCGTAAAACCTTCAAACTGACCAGTGGAGAGTTTACTTTTTTGTAATCTGCCATCATCTTTTTAAGAATCTATTTTTGTGTTTGACCAAGCATAGGGTAGAAGATAAGTTATTAAAACAGGCTTGACATTTCTCAATTAAAGGCAGGTAAGCAACTGAATTAAAGGATCATGATAGTATCAGGAAAACAAAGTGTTTTTCCTGACACTATAGTGCCCTGAGTGTGCCCCCACCCTCAGGGTCCTTCTCCCTTTGTGCTGAAGGGAACCCCTTCAGCCACTTACCTTAATCCAGCGCCGGACTCCCTCAGCGCTGGTGACCTCTCCTCCCCCGCCGACGTCAGCTGAGCCGAATGCGCATGCGCAGCAAGTGCCGCACACGCATTCAAAGTGTCCATAGGAAAGCATTTCTCAATGCTTTCCTATGGACGCTCTGCGCGATGGAGTCATAATATGCCTCTAGCGGCTGTCCGGAAGACAGCCAATAGAGGCTGGCTTAACCCTGCAATGTAAACAGAGCAGTTTCTCTGAAACGGTTATGTTTGCATCTGAAGGGTTAAAACCTGAGGGACCTGGCACCCAGACCACTTCATTGAGCTGAAGTGGCCTGGGTGACTATAGTGTCCCTTTAACCCTCTTGCTTGGTACAGATCTGGCATCAAGCAGTGGTTTAGGCCAATTTCTAAACTCAAATGGTTAATAATGCAAAACAGACTTGTTTTTCCCTGTTGCTTGTGCCAGCAGGTAGGAGATGGGCAGATAAGGCATTTACTCCCTGTGTCTGCGTGTCACAGTAGCAATGACAGCTGCAGGGATTCGCTGGCTGTACCCACATGGCATCTGTTCCTATGACATTCACTATATTGTAGTGAGAAGAAAAAAATAATTATTTAACCAACAATCTGCTCTTACAGCTTGACTTGCCTTGGAGGCTGCTGTTTAGAGAAATAACTGCCCTGTATCATTGCAATTTAAAATTCTTATTAAATAATCTTCTATATACTCTTGAATAGAAATTACACCAAGTAAATACACTAGCAACACCCCATTACCACCATCTCTCCTCAAAAAACACTATTTAGTAGATATACATCAAATAAATAATACATGCATTTGTTTCTGCATGTTTTCTTCCGAGGCATATGAAAAAATAGCTTCCAAAAGCTGTGGACCTACTGTCAGCAGCATTTGCAGACCATTGGAAAGCATTGCGAGGTTATTTAGCATGCACAACAAAACACTGTGCTGCGCCAATCTAAATCTTCCCCATAGAGATGTATTGAATTAGTGTATCGATATGGGGAACATTCAGCGCCTACATGCAGAGTGTGGGGACACTGAATGTAGGTACTGCAGCACTGGACTAGGAGTCACACTGAGTGAATGTTACTAGGCAGCAATGTAAACACTGCCTTTTCTTTGAAAGTGCCAACATTGCAAGGACAGGCTATAGGCACCAAAACCACTACATTAAGCTGTAGTGGTTCCTGTGACTATATTGTCCCTTTAAGAACTGTATTTTTGTCTTTGAAAAGTTAACAAAATAAAATTGGCACCTAGATTCCAAGCAAATTTGTCAAGCCCTGACCTACACAGTTATACAGTCACAAATGTGACAGTCTCCAGTAAACTGAAGTGCTTTCGTGTGTGGAGTTTTAGTTTAGTTTAGTGTGGCACTGTCCGATGACTTTGCAGAATTTGCAAAGACCCATGAGGGTGACATTGCCACTGGGGGTTCAGTGGGCAGGCAAAGGTGAGTTCTGCTTACCTAAATCTGTTCCTTTGCAGGACCACCATCTCCTCCTGCTGGGTCCTCTTCAGCTCCTGGCATTTCAGCGCCAGGAGCAGACATCACTGCTGAACTTTCACCCATGTGCAAGAGAACAACATTGAAGTCTATGGAGGATCATCCATAGATAGAGCTAATTCCCTGCAGCCTTCACTCGTGATGCCAGAGGGAGGGGGGGGGAGGAAATGACACCTCTAGACGGCAGTAAATCCACCCAGTGTCTAGAACTGTCAAGTGTATGACATATACATAGACAAAAAGTAGTCCCTACAATCTCAGGATAGCTCTATGTCAATATGAGTATTACATAAAAGATTCTATCTTTATGAAATACACATTTTCAGGGTGTGGGTGGGTAGGGGGTGACAGTGCTGCTTTAAGAAGTGGTTACGGCAAAGGTGTAGTTCCCATCCTCTGCAGAGCCCACACAGGGTACCCCACGCCAAGGTATGTATTGCTTCTAATAAAGATCCCAATGCCATACAGTAGAAATTGTGTGTAACTGGGAGTTGCAGTTTGTCAGTGGTCATACAATTTACATTCTCTGCTTTTTAAAAACACACAGCTTAGTAAATAAAGCCCAATATACAGAAAGCGTGTTCTCCAGCTCTTGCACAGTAATACTTCAACTCTTTCCTGTATGGTAGAGAGGTTTTCACATTTCCTAATGGTACAATAAACTACCAGCGCTCAGGGTCTGGGGGCTACCATAGGGGCTAGTCAACAACCATCATCCTCAGCCACCACTATGAAAACCGGTTGGGGTGAATTTCACAGATTGCTTCTTTGTGGAACATCAGTCCAAAACAAAGCAGACATTAAGCAACAGCGAAACGTCTTTAATGACTACACCTTGCATTCACACAGCGGTTGATCTCCCAGGGTGCAAGATAGTGAGAGAAATCATTTGATGCCATTGGGGGTCACTGGGCAAATATATTTACATTAGAATATATACAGAGAAAAGCACACGTTCAGAAGAAAAATAACTCCCTTGAAAAGTTTACAGTCCAGCAACACTCAGAGTCCTCAAATATTTGAAAAAGCAGATAAAGATCACAGGTGGGGGAAATAGTTCAAAACCATAAAAGATCCAAAGTCATCAATGGCCTATTTTCTAGAATAGCGGACTAAAGGCTGCAAGCTTTGCAGGAGTCTGGAAAGCACAGCCATGGATTTTACTAATATTACCTTGGAAATATAACAAGTTATTAAAAAGTTCTCATGAGCAACAGTGAGTTTCTAAAAGCAAGGTCCATGCAGTGACCGTTTGAAATTCAGAGCTAAAGCAAACAGTGACCTCTATTTATGTGTCAACATTTGGTATTGCGAGGTCCATATATTCTCCAGTTTTTCTTTTCATTCAAGTGTAAGGTCCTCCTAGTAGACATCAATTGAGAAATTTATGCTCTGGCACCACTACAAGTTCTGACCAGGTTTCCATTATGCTGATGGTGGTTGTAAGTGCATGAAAAATCTTACATGGTTCATATGAAGTTGCACATATTTGTTCCGAAACACCGACTACAGGATATGAAGAATTAAAGATATAGTAGGCTTCCAATTTGAGGTAAGGTACTATGGTAGGAGGGTGCATAAGAAAACACACACACTCCCTCAATAATAACTACGGTTTTCATTCAGAATGTTAAATTTATAATATAATACCCAACATCTGCTCACAGCGACTAGACCCAAGATGCAGTTTAGAACTTTGGACTCATTGAAGCTTCCATGCAGGATCAGGTCTCTCAAAATGAATAGAAGTTAGCGCTTCAGATATAACAAATCGCCATTTGAGCCTTTGCATGTTAAATAGCGCAGTAATTAACATTTATTTGCCTACACAGAATTCAGAAGTGATATCTCAAGAAAACCAGCCATCTGTCAGAGAGGTGAGTGATGGTGGCCAACTTCCAAACCTTCACTTCACGCATTGCAAGCTGATGGAGAACGGAAAGGGTAGTAGGTCAACGAAGAAATTGCCTCACAATAACAGTGTCTACTTGCAGAAAATAAATCAGGGCCATAGCTCAATGTGGAATTGGCTGACACTGCTCCCGGAGAGTGGTGAGATAACCAAGTACAACATGTCAAAGAACCCAGTGCTGGTTCCTCATTACGGAGAATGGTGTGTAGTAGGGCAATATGATAAATAGGAGTAAGGCAGGAGGCTGGAGAGGCACTCAGTTCAGGGCTGGAGCAGGGCAAGCTCCCATCATCTCCACCAGCTCAGTAGTCCTCCACCCAGCCATTCTCAGATATGAAGGCATCAATCACCTCTTTCATGGCCAGGTTTGGGATCAGTTGATCTTGTGTCAAAGGGCTCCTGGTGACAGGATCAAAGTGACCAACTCTCTGGTAAACAAGAAAAAAAAATAAAATAAAAGATACGTATAACACAAAGTCAAACTAAAAACAACAAAACTACATTCAGCATATTTAAATAAACCAAATAGGAGTGAGTGTCATCTTATCTTTTTCAGATTAGTGGGGAACAAACAAATCAAATGTTGATGCTGTTGCATAAAATAAAGAAACTTTGTTAAAAAGACATTATAGGCATCAAAACAACTTTATCTTAATGAAGCAGTTTTAGCATAGATCATGCCTCTGCAGTATCACTGCTCAATTCTCTGCCATTTAGGAGTTAAATCACTGTTTATGCAGCCCTAACCACATGGCCTGCACGAAAAACATGTTTTTCCCCCATATTCATATGTTAAAGGGACACTCCACAGCCCAAATATATAATAAATCAAATAACTTTTTCATTAAAATTATATCTAGCTTGCGAAAACTGCGGATCTCTTGTCTGAGGTGTTTGCAAGCCCTCCTCTTCTAACAGCGCCCAGACTTTGTGTCTGTCCAATCACATATTTCCAAATGCAGTTCAGGGAGAAGTCTGCAAGGCAGGTGCTCTGCGCAATTGCGGTCTCTTGAGTTCAGTGCAACTACGCTAACCAAACCAGGAAGTAACATTACCTGCCATATGCTGGAAAAGCCAGGGAGTGTAACCAGTATAAATTTTTTACAATTTTTATTTTTATTTTTTATTTTTTACAAAAAGTGTTAATGTCTATTGCAATCTGCACTTTTTCCAAAAAAAAACCCCCAAAAAAACCAAATAGAACACACTCTTTACCCATAAAGCTTTTCAGCAAGCTAAAGTTCTTTAGCAGTCTGGAGTGTCCCTTTAACTTGCTCTAGAAATCTCCTGCACAGTAAATTGGAGAGCAGACGCTGGACTAAGGTAAGCTACTGAAGGGGTTTTAACCTTCAGCGCCACGGGAGGGGGACCCTGAGGCTGGGGGCACCATCATGTCAGGAAAACCGCTTTGTTTTCCTGACACTATAGTGATCCTTTAACAACTTTAAAGGGACACTATAGTCACCAGAACAACTACAGCTTATTGAATTTGTTCTGGTGAGTAGAATCATTACCTTCAGGCTCTTTGCTGTAAGCACCGTCTTTTCAGAGAAAATGCAGTATTTACATTACAGCCTAGTGATAACTTCACTGGCCACTCCTCAGCTGTCTGTTAACGGGTCATGGCTGCCTAAAATGCATCCAAACTTTCAGTGTCTCCACCCTCTGCATGGAGACACTGAACTTTCCTCATAGAGATTCATTGATTCAATTCATCTCTATGAGGAGATGCTGATTGGCCAGGACTGTGCTTGAATTGTGCTGGCTCTGCCCCTGATCTGCCTCTTTGTCAGTCTCAGCCAATCCTATGGGGAAGCACTGTGATTGGATCAGGCTACCACTTCTGATGTCAGCAGACAGCTTGTTTTTTTTGAGGCAAACAGCATGCAGAGCTACAGCTTCTGGCTTGAATACAGTAAGATGTTGCTATATTTACGGAGGCATGAGGGGCCAAGGGGGCTAAATGGTGGTTTTGTGTTTGTGTTCCTGACCCTATAGTGATCCTTTAAAACGTTTCTGACTGAACAAAAAAGGCTTATTGCCTGAAATCCTTATGAAGAAGGTACCTGGAGATGTTCCTCGATATCTTTCCGATCATAGGTTATCCCGCTTGGCGTTATACAAGGCTCTCGCATCAACTCAAAGCTGATTTTACCACATAAATAATCTGGGATGTCTCTTTTCTAGAACAGAAATAAAAAGACGTGTTAACAGGTCTGTGATTAATTACAAGAGCACAATGTGGTAACCAACAATAAATCCAATATACAGCAACTTACAGCTTTACACACACACCTTACAGCTATACATGCTCACATGCACACATGCACACGATTTACAGCAACACATTCGTGCAACTTGCTCTCCTAAAATCTCACCTTTCGTTTCTCATCTACCTGGGAGAAGAGCTCGTCCATCTCAGCTAGATACTTGTCCTGAGAAGAAAAAAAAGAGAGTCAGGATATCCTTTCATTTCAGGATCTCAAGAGATATATACTCCCGCATTCACAGATTAGTTTAGATCCGCTCAGTCTCCATGCTCGATATTACTATACAAAACAGCACAGTCTGCAACAGGCAGCTCTCTGGAGGTTAGCCACCTTGGGGAACGGCATTAATTTAAACTGTTAATAATGGAGTGTGAGGAAGTGGAGGCAATACCTTCTACAATGAAAAAAAATGCAACACATAGGAAGAACCGTTACTGCCATTTTTCTAATGAAACTAATAGAATAAACTTGAATAGGATACCTGGACAAGAATAGGTCCATTTAAACATTAAATTCTTTTGGTCCATGTATGATTACTGAAATCAAAGTGTAGGGGTTTATTACTCATTGGGGTTCCCAACCAACTCCTATAAAGCTGAATGTAAACTTGTTTTTCCAAATGTAGTGTAGATACAAATTTACTGTGGAACAAACATATAACCCTCAGCCAGCCTGCTGCCCCTGCGTATATCAGTTACAGCCAGACATTAGCCCAAGAGATGCCGCAATCTTTTTCTACTCACATGTTTGGAAGCCACGCTGGATAACTGGGTTCTGCTCCTATTCTCATCCACATTCTCCTCCTCCTGCTTCCTCTTGGTTTCTTCTAGTTCTCTGAAGGAAATAGACGTTTTGCTTGTCAGAAGAACAGTGTGTCACTTCCTCCACATTCAGAATCGAAATTTTGGTTAAGAATAGTGAGGTATCGTTTACAAACAATGCTCTGAAACAAGAGATCCAGCACCAGGGTCCAAAGAAAACAAGGATTTCACATGGCCAGGCCATGCAGGCAACTAGTCCAGTCTTGACCCCAGCAGGTCATTATCTGATCTGTTCCACCATGGTGATCTAGTCCAGCCATTACTGCGCACACAGCTCAGCAGGTCTAATTTTTCCACCATGGTCCGTCACACAAGGAACTAAACTCAGCCGTGACCCTTTACCAGTCAGTCACATAGCCCACCTTCCAGAAATAAAAGGGACCAAACAAATATTCAAATGACCCCTTTAAGTGCCAGAGATAATCCTGACACAATCCTAGCACTCTGAGGGTATAATAGAAGTAGCCACATATTTGAATTTGATTCAATTCTCCCTCTTCTTCTCCTGCTGCTAAACTACGTTAGCAGTGAGGAGATCACGAGATGTCTGTCCCTAGAGCTAGAAGACCGTCTGAGTGTGACGATAGCAGACAGCTTCTGGAATACCATTGCTCCATCATACAGCATCCAGATTCCCACCACTGGGAGGAAAAAATATGAATCCCAACAGCTGTCTCTGATCTGATAGATAGCCTATGAGGGCCACTCCGGGGAGGTTTTAAAGTTTCTCCCGACAATCAGGGAGAGACATACTTAGTGATCTAGCATTCAATAATGAACTGGTCATTATGTAACCTATTACACAATATTCAATAATTAGGGCCTATGTCCAGCTGAACAGGAATGCCAGTATCCAGAACCTCTCAACTCGTTATCTTAGCTACACCACCGGGGTCAATCACACGAGAACCAAGTTTGACCCTCATTATTGGCCGCTATGGCTAGTTCTGCTATAATTATGTGTGGAGTCATTCCCTTTCCAAGCAACCAGTTTGGTCACATCTACAACATCTATAAGCTGTACCATCAGTTGTGTGTGATAAGGTTGAACATGCTCCAGGAGATCTTTCCTCCCAGCTTTAACCTACCTCTCCTTCTCAGCCAGGATGAGTTTGGTGAGATAAGAGTGCAGCTCATTTTCCTGGTTGATTCTTCTTTCCTCTATATTGTTCCAACGTTTCTTTTTGGCAATCCTCAGTGCGCTGGGGATATCATCTCCAAAATTTAGCCGTTGCTCTTTGGCCAAGTTATATGCTGATAGAAAAGAGAAAGAAAAGTCAAATTTTAAGGAAGACGTTGACCCAAAAATATTCTATCTACAATACATCAAGAAGAGATGTGGAACTGATGTGCATTCAGCCACTACACACTTTCATCTTTAGAGATAAAACTACAAAATACCAGGCAGAAAACAGTCCCCCCCCCCTTTTCCTTTTTAATGAATTAGAGCTTTTATATATGGAGGGGAAAAAAATTTAAGTAAATTAAACAAACCCGCAGACACTCACCTGTGAGCCCTGCACAGACCAAGAAGGTATTATACCCATCACCCAATATTGCCTTCTTGTGGTTTTTGATGGAAGCACGGCCTATTTCAAAAACCAAAGCATTTAAGGGATATGTAGTTCAGCATGGAGCAGATTAAGATGAATACAACAGGTGTTCAAGCTGCTCGCTTACGGATTAAATTTAAAGGATCACTATAGGGTCAGGAACACAAACATGTATTCCTGACCTTAAAAGTGTTAAAAACACTATCTACCCCTTAAATATAGTAAAATCTTCTCTTTATTCCAGCCTGCTGCTGTTGACTCTGCCACTGATCTGCCTCCTTGGCTGACATCATTAGAAGTGATGATCTAAGCCCATTACAATGCTATCCCATAGGAAAGCATTGGATTGGCTGAGATGGTCAGTTCTGATCATTTCAGCTAATGAGGTGCGCCGGGGGTGGGGGACATAGCCAAAGATTACCCTGCCCAATCAGCATAGTTTTATAGAAATGCATTTTATGAGGAAAGTACAGTGTCTCCATGCAGAGGGTGGAGACACTGAATATCAGTGCTGCATATTGTGCAGCACTGTCCCAGGAAGTGCCTCTAGTAGCCATCTGAGGAGTGCCCAGTGGAGGTATCCCTATGCTGTAAGGTAAATACTGCCTTTTCTCTGAAAAGGAAGTATGACTGCAAAAAGCCTGATGAGGATGATTCTACACACCAGAACAAATACAATAATCTGCAGACTATAGTGTCCCTTAAATTCACAATTTTTCAGAAAGATGCAAGAGGCGCCTTATAGCAAGCACATGCCATACAACCACCTGGACATGTAACATGTTACTTCTGTAAGGGGTGTTGGAGGTTTTTACTTGCATATCATATGATGCTATTCCAAAATGGCAACTGGAATGTCACACCTTCACGTGTTAAAAACTAATAGACTTAGCTTGGCTAGATGAAAATTATTTATCTTTTGGGAATATTATTTTTACGGATTTCTGGGATGCAAGCATAAAAACATAATTCCCCTTAAAATTCAAGTGTTTATCCAAACTGGACATTTACAGAGGACAAGTGAATTGTACATTTTAGGCAAAGTTGGACTCAAAGACATTCTCCAACTCCGAATTTAAAAAAAAAAAAAATAAAACAGTTGTGAACCATTACAGCTAAACTAGATTTGTTCTGAAACATGCAGTAACCCCTGTGTTTTATTTTACCATTTCCTCCCATTGTTCACAGCAAGCATATAAACAAGTTTACATTTAATCCCAAACACCGACCAGACACATTCAATCTGGGGACAGCTGCCTACTCAGTGTCACATTATATTTAGCCTCCTGTTAATCTCAGCACAGCAGAGCCCAGGCAATAAATAAGTCACCTATGAAAAATACCAAAAGACAAAGCTTTCAGAATTTGAATAAAGCATAAAAAGTTATACTGGGTGGGTTTATATTATTAAAGGGACACTCCAGGCTCCCACACACGTTAGGTGCACTGTGTAGGTTAGGTTACAGTTAGTTATACCGGGTGGGTTTATATTATTCAAGGGACACTCCAGGCTCCCACACACGTTAGATGCACTGTGTAGGTTAGGTTACAGTTAGTTATACCAGGTGGGTTTATATTATTAAATGGGACACTCCAGGCTCCCACACACACACGTTAGGTGCACTGTGTAGGTTAGGTTACAGTTAGTTATACCAGGTGGGTTTATATTATTAAATGGGACACTCCAGGCTCCCACACACGTCAGATGCACTGTGTAGATTAGGTTACAGTTAGTTATACCGGGTGGGTTTATATTATTAAAGGGACACTCCAGGCTCCCACACACGTTAGATGCACTGTGTAGGTTAGGTTACAGTTAGTTATACCAGGTGGGTTTATATTATTAAATGGGACACTCCAGGCTCCCACACACACACACGTTAGGTGCACTGTGTAGGTTAAGTTACAGTTAGTTATACTGGGTGGGTTTATATTATTAAATGGGACACTCCAGGCTCCCACACACGTCAGATGCACTGTGTAGATTAGGTTACAGTTAGTTATACCGGGTGGGTTTATATTATTAAAGGGACACTCCAGGCTCCCACACACGTTAGGTGCACTGTGTAGGTTAGGTTACAGGCAGTTATACTGGGTGGGTTTATAATATTACTCGGCTTTATAATAAGTTCCAGTTATTTACTCTGTGACAATTCCCCCCTCAAGTCGCTTCCTACAAAGTGTCCATTAGTTTGGTGGATTAACAGGTTTTCTTAGCACATATGATGGGTGTTCTGTTGTAGTGTATCCTTTGATTGTGCATTGTTTTATGATACATTTCACTTTGTTGTAATTACACTGCCTATAAATTGGTTGTTATTCACCGTAAGTGGCAGCTTGACCCATTGCAGGATCTAAAAGTTGCTGAAAACTTTGCTGCAATAAATTTGGCATGCTGAGCTTTGGAGTACCTGGATCTTTCTTCTTTTTTTTTTGGATATAACCTTGTGGGGATTGTGCTAGCCCTTGGTATGGTTTCACTAAATATTTGCTTAATTGAAGGAGAGCAGTTCCTTTAAATGGAGTTGGTACATGTAACGGATCACCTGGCACCCCGACTGGGTAACTCAGTTGAAGGATGCTCCTAGCGCTTCCTGAGGGCTCCAAGCACTCTAGCAGACACCACAACCACCGCTGGCCGAGCCTCTATTCCTTAAGAGCAAAGCAGGAACAAGCTCTTACAAGAGCTTAGGAGTGATTATAGCAAGGGAATATGCAGAGCATAGCAATCCCTTGTAGCAGATTCCCCCAATAAGAGACAGGACTCCAAATTGAGGGTGAAGTAGAATTGAAGCTTTAATCCAACACTCTGCTTTTATGCACATTTTACACACAGTACTGCCCACAGGGTTTTGCAGAACAACCAATCAATACGTACAATACACTCCCAGCAATTACTCACAAAATCCTCCCCTCTGCCTGTGATATAAATTACTGAACACAATGGGCTAACGTAATTATCACGGACAGGAAAATACACAATATTCATAACTTTAAAAGTATACATCACATTTTCAGAATCAGCATACTCCAAATACAAACATATGTCAAAATCATACAAATAGGTCCAGTGGTTCAAAAGTTAGTTGGAAGTCCCTTTTTGATCGACTGCAAGCATGGCTTGGGTGTGGTAAGCCAAATATCTTCAGCATACAGAAAATAGCTCTATTCACAACAACAGTAAAAACACATAAAAATACATAATTCCTATTATACTGAACAGAACCCCCACATTCAACCTAACACCCAGATAGCTTGGATCTGAGCGCTCAATATATATCCGAACAGCGCTCAGATCCCACAAACAGAATAAAATCGCCATGGGGTTAAAGTTTAGCAAGGGCCATACACAGTCCAATAGAAGTCCATAAGCCCCAAGACTGTTGTTAAAGGGCACAATCTTCCAGGGGCCATAGTCAGAAGGTAGGAGGCGGGCAAACAGGCCCCTCCAAAAACCAGTGGCGAGGTCACTTTCGCCACAGTACATAAGTGCAGAATTATCATGCCTGCCTGAGTCGCTTCCTCGTCTAGGTAGAACTGACTGCACACGCTGCACAGCCTGGGGATTTACAGAAAATGCTGGTTTAATTGAGGAGTTTGCCATATTGCTGTTGATGCATTCTACATATGATCCTTAAAAAGGGTCAAATCTATTCTGGAATGCCTGTAAAACGGATGTGAGTCTTTTCCTGTGCATTCTAGTATCCGACGCGTCACGCACCTGCTGTGACCTTAACCTCTCATAGTTCAGTTTGAACTGTAATCTCTTCCCAGTAAATATCAGGTGACGGCATTCACCAGGTTGTCATAACCTGATACCCTAAATAATGCTGCTCAGGAATCTCATAGCATTACGCACACGTGACACCCTTCTCATTCATTGTCTAATAATAATAATCTTCAGGTTAAACAACTGCATGAGGTCTCATTTAGTGAAGAACGATCCCATGGTTAATCCCGAGCTGTTAAACTACAACTATGCTTCAAGACTAGTGAAGCATCATGGGAGATGAAGTCCTCTAACATCCATTATCTACTGCTCAGCCACCTTCTACACAGTGCCTGTAAATATGTAGGAAGTTATTCACTAAATGCAAATCAACACAAGCGATCAGGGAAGTAAATCAGATCAGGTTTAGTCAGCTCACCTCTCTGCAGATTGCCGATGGCCTCGTCGTAATTATCCAGTTCCATCTGGCACTGCCCCAAGAAGAAGTGAGCCTTCACAGACTGGCAATCCAACTCCAGGGCATGTTTGCAGTCTGCCAGGGCCTTATCCAGCTGCTGCATTTTCAGGTAACATAGAGCTCTGTTTGTATAGTAGACAGCAATGGAGGGGTTCCGGGTCTGCATGTAGGGAAAATTTAAAAAAAATAATGGAATATACAGAGATAGAGAGAGAAATTAAGAGGACATAAAAGTGATAGTTATTACAGACTACATAGTAACACTGTAATCTAGTATACACGGGTCTTCAAATCCATTCCTTCCTCCTCACTCCCCTCCCTGACTATAGTCAATGCGTGTACTACAAAAGTTGTTGAGGAGTGCAGAGCGGACCGGGCTGTGGTGAATAGTCCCTCTGCATGAAGATGTGGATCTGTGAGGTGTGAATACCACTACTGGGGAAATATAAGTGAGGCTTTATGGGCTTAATATATATTTTTTCTATTGCTTTGCAAATTGAAACTAAAGATGAATCAGTATATGCTGCTGGAAGGGAAGAAATCGATGAGACAGCAGCTGAACAGTAGTCAGAGTATTAAGTTTAAATGTCATTCATTCCATGTTAAAAAGAATGAACTGCACTCAGCGGCTGTATTGGCGGCTGTGACACAGACGTGTTACTGGGAGAAACATGAAGAGTGAATGAGCAACTGAAAACAAAGACTGGCTTTATTAAGAGTTAATATTGTTACATTGTATTCTATATAATGTGTCTTGAAACTCCCTTAAAGAAACAAATCATCGGAGTGCACCAGTACAAACATGCAAGGACAGCAAGAAATCGAGAAAGCTTTCTAGAGACAATTATCCTGCAGCCGACGCTTTAATGCCTGGTGCACATAAAATTGAAAAAAGAAAACTGACAACAGCCATTAACATGATAAAACGTTGCCAGGTCACTTTGAGGCGAGTGATTTAATGAGAGACTACGCACTAAAACCATCGCAGCTTCTTTTAGTGGTTACATTGAAGCTGGCAATGTAAGATTCTGACTGACATAAGAGGAGCATCTTCACTGAAGTCCTTCAAAAACTGGAGGCCTTCTGTTTCGTGTCAAACATAGTGACGTAGCCGCCATCAAACGCTGGGAATGCTTCTCACAGACTAGAATTGGTACCACGGCAGTGCTGTCATGTAACTTTCACTACCAGAGAGAAATCTGCATTACACAGCTATGTGTGTCATAAGTAAGACCGCAGGGCCAGGGTAGACAACCTTCAGGAGTCCAGACATTGTGATCCATGTCTCCTCTGATGCTCTGCCTTATAGGAGCATTATACGACATGTAGTTCACAACATCTGGAGTGCCAAAGATTGCCTGCCCCTGCCATAAGGTTAAGCATCGTAAGCTTTGTCGAAATTTAACAAGGACATGATAAAACCACACTTACTATTGCTTTGCTATAACAGGACACCGCCTCCTGATATTTGCGAGCCACAAACAGACGATTGCCTTGCTCCTTAAGCTCCTGGGCACTAACACTTTTCTCTGGGCTTCCCCCAATCCCTCCTGTACTCCCACTCACCCCCGAGGGGCGTCCCCCACTACCACCCTCCTCCTTCCCTTTCATACCGGGGCCTCCAGGAGTAACCCCTCCAAACCTCGGGATGCTCGGTGTCACCCCCAATTTCACAGTTGTTATGGGACCCCTTTGCCTAGAGGGGGCCCTTATTTTATATCACAGGGTTATTTCCCACTTTAGGTATCTAGATAGGATATGAAAGCACTTTCTATGCTATTTGCACATTACATCTAACATCCAATCACCCCACCATCAAAAGGTTAAATAATACTGGAATACAAATATGCTCAGGTATTTGCCGAAATCCAAAATGTGCACTCCACAAATCCAATAAACCTCAGATAATCCTTCAAACCAGGCTACCAATATTTAGTAATATTATTATCACTAAATGCTTATTGATATCAACTGCCACAATTCAACTCCAAAACATTTAGCATAATTGCATACTCATAACACTTAAAATGTTCTCCTACACATTTATAACACAATTCTAATGCCAATTCTAATGCCATCAAAAGCTGAAACCTCCCGTGTTCAGCAGTACGAAAGATCAGTTTAAAAATTAGAACATGTAGTAAATTCCAGACTTTCCACAAACCAATCTGGAGACACAGATCTAATCCGGCTGCAGCCTTCTCGCAGTCATCGATGATACAACCCTAAAATCGGTTCCTTAACGGACCTTCAGCACCCCAAAAATAAGGTCATTTTGTTGAGCTAATCAGCCACAGGTTCACCAGTGATGGGGTCAATGACTGCCAAATCCTCTCCGATTCCCAAACTTCCTGAACAGCATCCTACCGAGGTAATATTGGGGGTAGATTATATGTCCCCCTGATCATCTTCAAAGGGCATCTACAATGAGCCTCCTTTAAGCACCCTCAATTGAAATCTGTTGTCCAACCCCAAATAAGTAACTCACAGAATAAGCATAGGAAAGGAGTGCTTATCCAGAGTAGTTTTAAACATCAGTTATAGAGGGGGTGGACAGGTTTAAGTTCATTGAGCAGCCTCATGAAGTGAAAGACCTGATCTTAGCCCCTTGAGCAGCCTCACTCAGTATTTATTGACATGATGGAGCTGGTTTTAAAATCTCCTGAGCAGCTTCACACAACAATTACAGGAAGATTCTGTATATTAATCCCCTTGAGCAGACTCACTTAGCAGCTTCAGAGCTTTTATTTAATTCCCTCTCCCTCAAAACAGCACTTACAGGTGGAGCGGCCTCGCACTGGATGCAGACTGTGTCCCCCTGAGCTGCCACACACAGCAATCACATAGGATCCAGACTCTGTATCCCCCTGAGCTGCCTCACACAGCTATCACATAGGATCCAGACTCTGTATCCCCCTGAGCTGCCTCACACAGCTATCACATAGGGTCCAGACTCTGTATCCCCCTGAGCTGCCTCACACAGCTATCACATAGGGTCCAGACTCTGTATCCCCCTGAGCTGCCTCACACAGCTATCACATAGGGTCCAGACTCTGTATCCCCCTGAGCTGCCTCACACAGCTATCACATAGGATCCAGACTCTGTATCCCCCTGAGCTGCCTCACACAGCTATCACATAGGATCCAGACTCTGTATCCCCCTGAGCTGCCTCACACAGCTATCACATAGGGTCCAGACTCTGTATCCCCCTGAGCTGCCTCACACAGCTATCACATAGGATCCAGACTCTGTATCCCCCTGAGCTGCCTCACACAGCTATCACATAGGATCCAGACTCTGTATCCCCCTGAGCTGCCTCACACAGCTATCACATAGGATCCAGACTCTGTATCCCCCTGAGCTGCCTCACACAGCTATCACATAGGATCCAGACTCTGTATCCCCCTGAGCTGCCTCACACAGCTATCACATAGGATCCAGACTCTGTATCCCCCTGAGCTGCCTCACACAGCTATCACATAGGGTCCAGACTCTGTATCCCCCTGAGCTGCCTCACACAGCTATCACATAGGATCCAGACTCTGTATCCCCCTGAGCTGCCTCACACAGCTATCACATAGGGTCCAGACTCTGTATCCCCCTGAGCTGCCTCACACAGCTATCACATAGGATCCAGACTCTGTATCCCCCTGAGCTGCCTCACACAGCTATCACATAGGATCCAGACTCTGTATCCCCCTGAGCTGCCTCACACAGCTATCACATAGGATCCACACTCTGTATCCCCCTGAGCTGCCTCACACAGCTATCACATAGGATCCAGACTCTGTATCCCCCTGAGCTGCCTCACACAGCTATCACATAGGATCCACACTCTGTATCCCCCTGAGCTGCCTCACACAAAAGGCAGTTAGGATCCTGTGCCCTCACAGCCTGTGTGGTTATTCCCCCTCCCCTCCTTGGGGCCTCACACGGTGGTTATGGTGACTATTCCCCCTCTGGGGCTCTCTCGCGGTGGTTATGGTGATTATACCCCCTGGTGCCCTCACAGGGTTAATACAGGTTAGTTATCCCCCCCGCGGTAGTTATGGTTATTCCCCCTCGCAGTGGTTATGGTTGTTCCCCCTCGCGGTGGTTATTCCCTCCCCGGCTTGCCCAGTAACCCCAGCTCTGCGAGCTCTGTCTCCAGGCGGAAGTTCCGGTGTGTCGGTGACGCAGGGGTTTTAAACCTCCATCTTCCAAACACCAATCACAGCCCTGGAAACAGGTCAGGTGGGCGGAGTCTGTGCCAAAGCGAGGCCTGAAACGCAAACCGAGCCTGGCTGTCAATAAATGGGCGTGGCTACTGAAACATAGAGCAGCGTCATTGGGCGGAGATTCCAAGACGAGGCTTGAGACGCAAAGCTCCGCCCCTGGCTGCCCCACACTGGGCTCCCAGCACTGAGTCTGCTGGCTGCTGGCTGGGCTGAGGGTCAGGTGACTACTGAGTGTAATACAGAGAGTACAGAGTGTAATACAGAGAGTACAGAGTGTAATACAGAGAGTACTGAGTGTAATACAGAGAGTACTGAGTGTAATACAGAGAGTACTGAGTGTAATACAGAGAGTACTGAGTGTAATACAGGGAGTACTGAGTGTAATACAGAGAGTACTGAGTGTAATACAGGGTACTGAGTGTAATACAGGGAGTACTGAGTGTAATACAGAGAGTACTGAGTGTAATACAGAGAGTACTGAGTCTAATACAGGGTACTGAGTGTAATACAGGGTACTGAGTGTAATACAGGGTACTGAGTGTAATACAGGGAGTACTGAGTGTAATACAGAGAGTACAGAGTGTAATACAGAGAGTACTGAGTGTAATACAGGGAGTACTGAGTGTAATACAGAGAGTACTGAGTGTAATACAGAGAGTACTGAGTGTAATACAGAGAGTACTGAGTGTAATACAGGGAGTACTGAGTGTAATACAGAGAGTACTGAGTGTAATACAGGGAGTACTGAGTGTAATACAGAGAGTACTGAGTGTAATACAGAGAGTACTGAGTGTAATACAGGGAGTACTGAGTGTAATACAGAGAGTACAGAGTGTAATACAGGGAGTACTGAGTGTAATACAGGGAGTACTGAGTGTAATACAGGGTACTGAGTGTAATACAGGGTACTGAGTGTAATACAGGGAGTACTGAGTGTAATACAGAGAGTACTGAGTGTAATACAGGGAGTACTGAGTGTAATACAGAGAGTACTGAGTGTAATACAGGGTACTGAGTGTAATACAGGGTACTGAGTGTAATACAGGGAGTACTGAGTGTAATACA